GAAAATCTCACTTATCAGAATTATTAGCATCCTATGTAACCCAGTGCTTTATATGAAGATATATATGTCTATGTTTATGATGAACAATATATATATATATATATATACATATATATATATATATTATATATATATATATATATATATATATATATTATATGTATATGTATATTATATTATATATATATATATTATAATATATATATATATATATATATTATATATATATTATATATAATATAATATATATATATATAGTTTTCACATAGTAAAGATATTTGCTTATGCTCCCTTAACAACTCTACAAATAAATGCAACGTAATAATGAATGGGCAATCAACTGCTTGATTATGTATCTCATCGATTTCAAATAATGACTTAGAGAAAACGTTATGTTAGGGTAGGTAAGGCTTGTCAGGAGCTGGAGCTTTTGCTCATCTTACCGAGGCCTTCTGCAGTCTTTCCAGTCCACCCCTTTAAAATGAGTATTGTGCTTTAAATTATAGCTAGTGTTTGAAGCATTGTGCTTAAAATTATAGGTAATGCGAGCAGTGTCTAAATTTAGCATTGTGCTCAAAATTATACTTAGAGCGAGCAGTGTCTGGAGCCAAAAAAAACGTGAACTTCCTTTCCAAAATCAGTGAAAACAATCTTCAGTTTTCTTTGAAAACAACTAAGGTCTCTCTCTTTTTTAAAAATCACTTTATTTTCTTTGAAAACTACTTCTCATGTGTGTTGTCAAGCAAAATTTGCGAATTTTCATTACTCGTAGTGTTATAAAAAATTTCTTTTTTTCTAGTCCAAATGACCTCTAAATATCTGAAAAAAATATCCTTGAAAACACATGTCTCAGTAATACTGAAAATAAGACTGCTCTTCTGCACATGATGCTGTATATAATGATGTGCTTGATGCAGTGTGACTCTATCTGGTAAAAAAAAAGCAGAACATCTGATGCTAATAAGAGCAATTTTGAAATGCTGTAAGGTTAAAATGCATCCACTACTCGAGGTGGCAAACACACACACACACACACACACACAACACACACACACACACATATGGACTACGTGATAACAAAATGCGAGGCAGAGGAGAGCTTTGTTCCCATTGGCAACAGACATAATGGGAAGAAGAGAATGAGTCTTTGGTTTACCCTAAGGTGTAGGGAGGCAAAAACTAAGTGTGCCAGAGAATGGAAAGAGTACAAAAGATAAAGGACCCAGGAAAATAAAGAGATTAGTCGAAGAGCCAGAAACGAGTATACACAGATAAGGATGGAGACCCAGCGACAGTACGAAAACGACATATCATCGCAAGTCAACTCCGACCCAAAGATGTTGTATATCCACGTCAGGAGCAAGACAACAGTTAAGGACCAAGGACCAGGTAATCTGGCTGAGAAAGGAAGGTGGAGAGCTCACAAGAAACTACCAAGAAGTATGTGAGGAGCTCAACATGAAATTTAAGGAAGTATTTACAGTGGAAACAGAAAGGACTCTGGGAAGCCAGATATACCAACAAGTGCTGGAGGAGATACACACAACCTAGGATAAGGTGAAGAAGCTGTTAAACGAACTTGATACCTCAAAGGCAGTGGGACCAGACATCTCTCTGTGGATCCTTAGAGAGGGAGCGAAGACACTGTGCATGTCACTAAAAATAATTTTCAACACATTCATTGCAACTGTACAAATATCTGAGGTATGGAAGAAAGCAAATGTAGTCCCCAGTTTTAAGAAAGGAGACATACACTAGGCACTAAACTTCAGACCAGTGTCACTGACGTGTATAGTATGCAAAGTCATAGAGAAGATTATCAAGAGGAGAGTGGTGGAGCACCTAGAACGGAATAAGCTTATGAACGACAACCAGCACGGATTCAGGGAAGGAAAATCCTGTGTCACAAACTACTGGAGTTTTAAGACAACGTAACTGCAGTAAGACATGAGAGAGAGGGGTGGGTAGACTGCATTTTCTTGGACTGCAAGAAGACCGTCGACACAGTTCCTCACAAGTGATTAATGCAAAAGCTAGAGTATCAGGTACGCATAACAGGACGGGCACTGCAATGGATCAGAGAATACCTGACAGGGAGGCAACAACTAGTCATGGTACGTGATGAAGTATCAGAGTGGGCGCCTTTGACGAGCGGGGTTCCACAGGGGTAAGTTCTAGGGCCAGTGCTATTTTTGTTATATGTGTATGACATGACGGAAGGGATAGACTCAGAAGTGTCCTTGTTAGCAGATGATGTGAAGCTAATTAGGAGAATTAGATCGGATGAGGATTAGGCAGGACTACAAAGAGACCTGGACAAGCTGCAAGCCTGGTCCAACAACTGGCTCCTCGAATTTAACCCCGCTAAATGTAAAGTCATGAAGATCGGGGAAGGGAAAAGAAGACCGCAGACAGGGCATGAGCTAGTTGGCCAAAGACTACAAGTCTCAAGGAAAAGGATCTAGGGGTGAGTATAATTAACTGCTGCAGCAAATGGGCGCCTAAGAAACCTGAGAATATCGTTCCGATACCTCAGTAAGAAATCGTTCAAGACTCTGTACACCGTATATGTCAGGCCAATACTGAAGTATGTAGCACAAGCTTGGAACCCACTCCTGGTAAAGCACGTCAAGAAATTAGAGAAAGTGAAAAGGTTTGGAACAAGACTAATTCCAGAGCTAAGGGGAATGTGTTACGAAGAAAGGTTAAAGGAAATCGGCCTGACGACACTGGAGGACAGGAGGGTCAGGGGAGACATGATAACAACATACAAAATACTGTGAGGAATTGACAAGGTGGACAGAGACAGGATGTTCCAGAGATGGGCCACAGAAACAAGGGGTCACAATTGGAAATTGAAGACTCAAGTGAGTCAAAGGGATGTTAGGAAGTATTTCTTTAGTCATAGAGTTGTCAGGAAGTGGAATAGTCTGGAAAGCGACGTAGTGGAGGCAGGAACCATATATAGTTTTAAGACAAGGTATGATAAAGGTCATGGGGCAGGGAGAGAAAAGACCTAGTAGCGACCAGTGAAGAGGCGGAGCCAGGAGATATGACTCGACCCCTGCAACCACAAATGGGTGAGTACAAATAGATGAGTACAACACACACACACACACACACACACACACACACACACACACACACACACACACGGGGTGGTTCACTTTTTCACCGCCGATCAAAATAACACAGATTATGAAACAGCTTACTTGTGTAAACATTTTAGAGAATCAATAATGGTGAGCGCCTCTCAATGTAATGTATATATTAATACTTCCATATATATATATATTATTATATATATATATATATATATAATATTATATATATATATATATATAAAATATATATATATATATATATATATATATATATATATATATATTATATATATATATATATGATATATATATATATATTAATATATATATATATATATATATTATATATATATATATATATTATATATATATATATATATATATATATATATATATATATATATATATATATATATATATATATATATATATATAATATATATATATATATATATATATATATATGTATATATATTATATATATATATATATATATATATATATATATATATATATATATATATATATATATATATATATATATATATATATATATATATATGTACACCTAGTGGCTTCTGTTTTAACTCATTTCTTCTAGTACAGCAGGAATATTTTTTCACATCCTGCTCAACTGACAAGACAGAAAATACTAACGATACCCTGAAGATTTTAACATATGGTGCAGTTTGTATAACTATGATTCAGTGATTTCCTTGATCTGGAAGATTGGAATCTTCAGGTGACCCGTCCCGACCTTGTTCTTACATTATGGTGCTTTCCATTTTCTTTATAGAAATGTATATGTCTGTTATGCCTCCTCTTGCTTTAGTATTAACATGATTTTAGCAAGATTTACATATATGTAGGTGCTAGTTCAAGAGACTGAAAGCTTTTTTATACAAAAAAAAATAGCTGCATGCTATTTTATTTTATGGAAGGAATCGTTTTGGTCGTTATTGATGGTCAAATTACTCGATTAAATAAAAAAAATGTTCCTTAAATATTTGAGTATTAAATATAACACTTTTTCTCATTAAAATGAATCCATTTCATCCTTCATTTCAGTCAAATGATTCATATTTCTCTATATGCCTGACCAGCTGTTATTATTCAGTAGCATGACTATTAGATTTAAGTCAAGATCATGGAAAAATATCTTATTCAGATTATCCTTCGTGATACTTGGCATGATATCAGATGTGGCATGTTAGTTTCCTCCAAAGTGCTAGATAAAACTTGTACTTCCACTTATTATACAGCCTAATCACTCACCTTCTTCTGGATATGCTCTTCTTACGAGTGACAAGTTCTGGAAATGGTGCAACCTGGAAGACACTTTCCAGCAGCATCATATGTAATATACTGTACAGTATATATTAAAACTGGTGATACATATGACTTCTAGGGATAGTACCACATGTATTATATATTTTAGGTCGGGTGCTACAAGTAAGTCTTATAGATAGAGCCACTTGTAAAATATGAGTAGTGCTGTAGAATAATTTTATCAAGTAGGGTACGTTTCATACTGGTCTCAGGTGCAGTGTATGTCGTAGGTGTCAGTACCACATGTCCTAGGTACAGATAGTTTGCCCTAGTACTTGTGTCACGTGTATGGTATATCCTGCCTCTTATTGCCTCTTTCCTAGGTACATATGGTGTGTCCTAAGATCAGTACCGCACTTAGTGAGTCTCCTAAGTGTTAGTACCTCATGTCATAGGCACAGGCTATATATCCTAGGGTTAGTGACTCACTCAAGGTATATCCTACTTGTCAGTGCCACATGTCTTAGGGATGGGTAGTGTCCCCAGATACTTGTGAATCTGAGGGCACTCACTATATCCACACATGCAATGCTTAACGGACATAATAAAATAAACTGTGGGAAAAAA